ACCATACTCTTCCTAGCCAGTGTTATGTGGAATAGTGAATACTGATGAGCTATTTTGTCAATCCTGGACCTTTTATTGTAAATGTAATCTCTCTTGAAACCATATGGACAATGCTATGTCCATGTTCTAGTCAAGCTTATGGCTGTAATAAACAAAAAACAATATAAAAGAGTTCAATTTAATAGAGTAGGAGGAACTTCATGGTATTTCATGATGTAGTAAGCCAGGTGCCATGCAAGGATATAGAGTGCCTGGAGTTGGCCATTGCAAAGTCAGGAGCTAAGGCTTATTTGCTCCATTACCTTCTTTCTGCAAATAGATTCCTGTGTCTACACATTCATTGCACATAATCATTTCCTCACATGGCTATCCCAGTCCCAATGTCTAAATGTAGGCAGCCTTGCAGGTCAAATCCCTAAAGAGAATGACCTCAAGTCTGTAGGTATCTGAACTCTAAATTTCTTGGTGGGAGCATTACACTGACCCAGCTTTGATTGAATAACAACATCAGGTTCACTTAGGGGACAAAAAGGGTAAGTTCCATTCTTATATTTCAGAGCCACACCTTCTTGGATGAGCAAACTTTAAAGGAGGGTATAAATAAGAAAAAAACTTGTTTTGTCTGGTAACTACAGGAAGAAAATGTCTCTCCTCTATCTAATGAAATTTCACATATTTAGGCTCTTTTCTCCCAGGGCACTATTGGCATTGGCGTTGGAGAGGAATGGTTTTCTTTCTAGGGGATCCTGTACCATGAACCCTCCAGGACAGTATTTTAACCCATCATAAGTCAAGGAGTGTCTGTATAAAGTACTCCAAGCTCAAAATATTTTGAGCTTAAAGTACTTGGTTTAGTGTAAGTACACAATACATCTTCACTATTATTTAATATAATAGCACTAATTGCCTTTTATTATAACTATTGGTGAGAGTTACGCAGAAGATTATACATTACACTATAGACATTTCCAGGCTGTGATGCAGCCTGGCTTAGAGTTGGCATGTAATAGTTTCTGAATGAATACATTAATCTTTGCATTCTATACAATGCCCAGGATATGGTAGGTGTTCACTAAATATTCACTGAGTTGAATTGGGGAAAATTGAAATGATCTGGAGAAAATTAAGAATAAGAATAATCATAATATTTTTTAAGGGATAATGAGTTTAAAATTTAAGGTATAAACAATTTCCTTTGAGACTCTTCCTCAGACCTGAATCAAAACTAAGGATCTAGCTCCATGTTCTTGGCAGATTTAAAATTTGTTCTTTATTTCATTTTTTCTCCAGTTATAGTTTTCATGTTATGTTATTTCTCTGTTTTCATTCTCACACTGTAACTTAGATCATATTTCACCAAAGCCCTGAACTCCATTTATTAACTGTATCAGTAAGCTATTGCTTCATAACAAACAAATCCAAAACTTCAGTACACATAACAAGATGTCTGTGGGTCAGGTAACCTAGGACAAGTGTGAAGGGATGGCTCCCCTTTAAATTTCAGGTCCAACTGGAGTTCTATTCAGTAAGCATTGGCTTCAGTTTTGGCCATATGTGCTTATCCTGGATTCCAGGGTAGAGGAACAACAGCTATCCAGGGAAGTCCTCTCTTGGCAATAGCAGAAAAATGAGAGGGTGAATGGATATCCATTGTGCTTCTTAAGGCTTAGTATGCACCTGATACATTTCCACTCTCATGACATCTACTAAGTAAATCATGTAGTCAAGCCCAATACAAATGAAATGGGGAAAATAAATGCCGCCTACTCCAATGAAAGATGTCACATGACCACATGACAAAGAAGGTAAAGGCACAAAGCTAATTCAGAGTAGGTAAGAATTGTGAACAATAACTAAATTTATGTCTTTATTCTAACTCTAATATTCACATCTTTCCTAGGCAATCACATTACCTTTTAACAAATCTCCTAGTGCCTAGTCTTCCCCGACTCTTTGTGTTCCCCATTTTTTTTACAAAGTGCTCCCAAGTGAACTTCCTCAAGTAAGGACTATGATTATAATACACACTTTCCTAAAAATTAAAACAACTTCCTAATGTCATACAATATTGTTTAGAATACCTTTGGCTGCAGGTAATAAGATACCCAGTTAAAAATAACTCATATAACAAGAAGTCCAAAGAAAGTGTTCTATGGTTGGTTTACATCACTTTTTTTGCTCTCAAGCTTGTTGTCTCATGGTGACAAGATTGCAACAATAATGCCAAGCATCACATCATTGTACGACAATATTCAAAGTGGGAAGAATAAAAAGAAAGGGCCTCCTCATGTACCAATGTCCTTTCAATAGGGGAAAAAATATCCCCTTTAGATTCTCAAATAACTTCCCTCTACATTTCATTGACCATACCATATAATGCAGCTCCCTTGCAAGGGAGGCAAAGGTCAAAAGAGATCATTTTCAGGTTCTGTCTTAGGAATGAATTCTAAAAACAGGAAAGAAGCTAGGAGAAGAATGGCTTAGTTATAGGAAATCAATTGTATCTGCCCCCTTTCAATTAATAGCCTACTTGACAAAATATAAGACACTTCATAGTGCTGTATTCATCTTCTTTTAAGGCTTAATTCATCGTAATTTAAATTAGCAAATGTTTCCCTGAATACAAGACCCTAATCTTTCTATCATTTTTCCCATCATAGATGCATTGTCTTCTCTGTATTTCCAGCGTGCTCTTTGTCGCCCTTTCTGTGCATGTTAAATCCTACATATTCCTGAGTGTTCGGTTCTTCCTGGAAAGTTTCCCAAAGGCACTCAAAGCTGGTCTGACGCCCTGCAACATGTTCCATAGTCCCCCTGTAATCCTCTAGGTGGAGTATATATTTCATGATGAAAGGTTAGTACCAGTTTACTTACATGCTGCTCCCACTAGACGATAAAGTTTTGGTGGATAAGGAATGATTTTCAGTTGTTATTTTACCAGTGCCTGGTATTTCTGTGATAAGATTACAGAATAGTTGCTCAAGATTTCTTTCACAAATAACTGAGAATTATCTCTCTCTTGTATCCACTGATGAAAAATGAAGTAAAGCAAAACTCTCTTCTAAATGACATCTACTTTTCTTGAATGACCTCTATCTCACAAACACTCTCTCTCTCTCTCTCTCTCTCTCTCTCTCTCTCTCTCTCTCTCTACTGGGGTTTGTACACAGATACCACATCTGTACTAAATGGCATGAAAAAACTTTGCACTTGCACTAAAAATATATTTATTTCTTAGCTTTCAGTATCTTTTATGACACCTGCTACAATCTGTCTCTTATAGTGTTTGAGTACTTCCATTAGTCCCTGCAATGTTAGAAAAATCTTTTCTTAAAACTTAAAATGCCTACCTCATTGTTATGAACATAAAAAAATATTAAATAAGCATTTGTGAAATTGATCTAAGTTATGAAGTCCATTAATAAGCCTTGTACTTTACAGCAGTTCTTCCTGACTACAATCTCTAGCCAACTTCAATCATTTAATCTGAAGTTATGTTACTTTTTCTTAGATAATATTTTACATCACCCTTATATTATATGGTTGCTCACTGTTTGGAACCAGTCTTGTTACTTGATCAAGTGTTTAAAGAAAATACCCATAATTATTTCACACTTCTCTATACTATGCTTATGTGTTTTTAATTTGTCTTCTCTGTGTCTCTTCCATGTTGGAGTGTATTATCAGTGGTGTATTAGCCCTAATTGCTTTCCTCTGTGCTAAATGGTTACCACTTCACAACATTACCTTTTCCCAAGAAATGGATGAAAATCATGACTTCCTTAAAATAACAGTGTACTCCATCTTTTGTACACCTATATAAATAAATGCAAATACACAATGCAAGGTATTGTGTAGCAATATGTTACAAAGGAGAGGGCTAGACTAGGATCTCACAGTGTGTATTCTTAGAAACATTAGTACAGAAAGAAGTTCTCAGAAATAAACAGACTATTGCTCAAATTAGTTGGAAGAATAATGCCTCTTCAAGCTCCTCATGGAAACTAACCATATGCAATGGTATATCATGGTCTCTAAAAAATAATTATAAATTGCTTAAACATAGTTTTTTAGTATCTGTTCAACTTTGTTTGATCTGATGTTGCCAAACCATTTTGATCACAGTCCCTCTTTTTTGCATCATCTCTGAATATCCTGAGGAACTGGTGCTTCAAAGAAACTATGTCACAGGAGATGAAAAGCCGAGATAGGAAAGCAAGAGTTTGTGGAGAAAGTGTGCCAAGTTGAGCCCTAATGGAAAGGTGATACTTAGATTAAAAAGAGGAAGGGCATTCAAAGCAGGAGAAATGCTAAGTAACTAATTTCAAAGTACCTGCCCCGCAACTTTCATCTTCAAATATCATTTAGCTGCAGAACGAATGTCCTAAATATACTGATAAAATTACCTTTTTTTTTTTTGGCAGTATTGGAGTTTGAACTCAGGGCCTACACATTGAGCCACTCCTCCAGAATTTTTTTGTGATGGATTTTTTCAAAATAGGGTCTCAGGGAACTATTTGTCCAGGCTGGTTTCAGTCCTCTATCCTCCTGATCTCTGCCTCTTGAGTAGCTAGGATTACAGGCGTGAGCCACTGGTGCCTGGCAAAAATCATCATCTTGATGCCTACTGATAAACTTCTTCTAAAACATACAGGACAGCAAAGACACTAAGATTAATTATTTTGGGGAAGTTACCTTAATTCCTTGACATTAATTCATAGATAACAAAGTGAAGGCCCAGAGAGACTATAATTTTCTCAGTCACCCCTGCCTAATCGATGGCAGAGTGTTAGTTTTCTCACCCTGGGACCAGCATCCTGTTCCATAAAAAAGGGACTTATGGTCTTTGTATGTGTGCCATAGAAACTTTGAAATTAAAGCAGAAATCAATTCCTATGCAAGATGAAGATTTCAGCATGCACTGGATATAGAATCAAAATCAAATTAAAGAACAACGCAAGCTTGGATTTTAATGAAGCTCATCTTTGTTTCTTTTGCAGATCAAATTTTTGGCTCTCATCTGCACACAGTGTGTGAACGTGAAAATTCCACAGTTCCATGGTTTGTAAAGCAATGCATTGAAGCTGTCGAAAAAAGAGGTGGGTAACTGAATATGCAGCAGTTCTTCTCATTGCTGCATCCTCTGAACAACTCATACTCAAGTTCACAGTGCCTCTTGATTTGTCTGGGAAGCCACGCAATTAAAACCTGACTTTTGTTAATCAGTTAAGAGGATCAAATTTCTTATTAACTTCAGTTTGTTTTTACAATAGGGACATTAGTAATTCTCACTAGTGTTTTTTTTTTAATATTTTATCTGTTTGACATACTGTTGATTCAATTGCAAACTTCTTGTTTCCAAGCCAGTGATAAAACATTTATAAAATATCAGCATCACAGTGTTAGAACCCTCCTAACATTCATGCTAGTAGATGTTGTGCCAGAACAATTTTTGGTAAGCCCCCAACATTACCCAAGTGAAGCAAATAGCATTTCTACTTGCAGTGACACCCCATCTTCCACATGTTTCTATTCAGTACAGAACATGGCTAACTTGTTTTCTTGGAACAATTAACAGATGCACCTTCAGTGTTAAAATGACCTTTGAGTCCTCTTTTTTGACATTCTGTTTTTCATCTGAAATTATTTCATCTTACTAAAGAGAGTGAAATAAGACCCAATTGACTCATCATTTCTATGCTAGTCTATCTGCGGGATGTTTTTCCTTCAAACTATGACTTCATTCATTCAAGGTCATTTTTCCTGGAAGATACACATAGTAAGATGCAGAATCTTAAAAAACGTATTGTATAAAAATGTGAGGCTTCATCACCATCTGTTACAAGTTTACAACATATTCCCAGGATCTAGGGGGATATATATCATATAAAAGATAGAGGTGTTTTCAGAAAAAAGAATTGGTGAACCTTTTCTCATTTCCGGTGCCTAGTCTCTTAAAATAATAGAACCAAAGGGAAAAAATCTTTACCAAGTAATCTGCTAGGAAAAAGCTATTTTAATTCTCTCAGTGTTACCTGGCTTTATTATAGAAGCATAATAAAAATGGTTTGCAATTTCTAACTCCTGGAAATTCATACTTTAATTATACTGTAAGGACAGCCTTGGGATCCTATTATTCCCATATCAGTAGGGAATGAGAATAACAAGAGGGGAAAGAATGGGTAGGGAATGTGGATAAAGACAGTGGCTTTGGGAAAAGCTTATCAACATATCTGAGAGAAGAGTCAAGGGTGCAGGGATGGTAGGAAACAGTAAATTCAGATGAACATGAGGAGAGGTGTCTAGGAGGAAGAAAGTCAATTGGAATTTAGAGAGAGATGCATTTTTTTATTGCCTGCTGCAATTTCATTTAATTTCATAAGTACATATTTTAGAAATAAATATTATTTAATAAGTACTTAAAGCCAAAATGAATCACTGAGAATATTATAATGTTATTAGTTCCAATAGCTAAATTTCATGATTTCCAAGAAAATCTTTTTACCAATAGTGTGAGCAGGATTGTATTAGACCAAAAATCCAAATAGGATGTTGGAGGAAACTGCATATAATACACACATATGAAGAGCTCTGTGCCTCTCGATTTATTAATCTACCCTAGACAAATACGAAAACTCTTCTAGATGCAGTCTTGCAGTGTAAAGATACTATAATATAATAGAGTAGAAAATGTCTATAAATAGAAATTGTATCTTTCGTTTGTGGCATTTTGTTGGAGATTTTTAAATAAAAAATGACAATGTTTCTGCTGGCTGGCAGGAGCAGTCATATCTGGCATTATAGTTCATTGTCCCAATGTTTAGTCTTAAAATGAATTTATGGATCCAGCACTAAACAGGTGCTAATCACACATATGAATATTAAAAGAATTCCTGAGCATTTTAATGAAACTCAAAGACTTCACTATACCGGCAAAGCAACTGGAAGTGTCAGCTTAAAGGAGCTCTATGGAAATGTTCAATAAAAACTCAGGAGCACAAGATAAACGTCTCACATCATTGCAAGATTTACAAGTGTGTACTTTTGATTATATTTTCTATTATCATTTTGTTGGATTAGTATTCTTACATTTATACGCCAATTCTATTTACTCAAAGTGTTGTTTTTACTAAATTCTGGCATACAGCACCTCAGGATAGAAATAATTTATGTGAATCTAAGTCCAATGTTTATGCAAGCTTCTGATGACATTTTATGCGGGGGTTGGTATTAGGAAGTAGCATATAAAAGTGCCAAGTCTCTCGGCAAGGCTGGGACTCAGCATATCTAGAGCCCCCTTCTATTGGCCAGATCCTCTTCCAGCCAAGATACTCAACAGCAGAGTCATGGGAAATGCTTATGGACCTGATATGGGAATGGCACATTTAATGAAATCTGTGTGTTTACTTTCACAGTCTTAGCGAAATGGCCTCAGTGCTCAGTATAGTAGCACATTGGCTGTTATTAAAAATAAAAATTTCCTCTTTTTGAGATTATTTTCTCTTTTCAAAAAATCATAAATGCATTTTTAAATGCTTCTTACATGCTTGATTTAAAATTAAACATTTTAAGGAAGGCAGATCACCATTTACTCATTCATTCATTCATTCATTTTACTGCTTGCATTTGATAGAACCAAATTGCTTATACTCCCCAAGAAATTCTACCCAAATGTTGGCATAACATGCAGTCCTTATTCACCTCCAGTGAATTTAGTTACATTTTAAATTTTGTATTTCTTGGACATGCCTGGAAGAAAGTCTGTGAGTAAGCTGAATGTAAAATAATTTATCAAAACACTTTAGTATATATCTTTACTTTGATTTGGTTCCTTTCATTCTTCCAAACCACCAGAGCACTTTCCTCCTCACCAACTGTTACAACTAAAGTCAGTTTTGTGGTTTCTAACATTGTCTACTCAGCCTTGAAAATGTACATGAAATTTGGAGGATAAAGGAACTTGTTTACCTTTGCAGCCATCCTAGGTGGGTTCCTTCTCCCTGCCTTGACTTTACAATTATGGATCTTGTATATGAGATATCATAACTAACCAATGAAAAAAGAATCTCAACTTAGGTTTCTTCTTTCAAAGAAATTTCCATGAAAATATTGAACTATTATTCAGGAAATGTTTGATTTGTATCCTTGGTAAATTGACCAAAGGCAGGAGATTGTTTTTGAGGTTTGAGGGAACAAACACATAGAGGAAGGCACTGAGACATATTGTGGTATGTAGGTGAGAAGTCCATTTTTCATTACTTTATAGAATGTTTTGTGTAGTTTGCAATAACATCAAATATGTATAGAAATGACTTACTTAAAAATAAGCTCAGCTGTGTCTGTTAGTAACAAGGGCCTTGGAGACCTGAACTACATATATAGTCCAAGGTGGTATATATGTAGTAAGATCTTAGGTCATGACTCTTTTTATGCAGGTCATGTAACTTACTACCCTTTGTAAAGGTCCACTGTTTGAAAAGAAGCTTATAGGTATTGTAAGCACTCAGTGAATATTTGTTGAATGAATAAATGGACACTACCTATATGGTGCATCCAGGCAACATGCAGCTATTGAGTACCTACTGTGTGTTGTTTTTCCTTCCAAACATTAAACAAAAAGACACACATATGAGCATGAGAGTGTGTTAGAACAAACTGTTATAAGCACTCTGAGAGAAAAGAACAGACACTACAAGGCAAAATAATCACTATGATATTAGAAAAGCTCAGAAATTTGTTTTCTTAAAAATGAGAGAATAAAACCTGTATAATAAACACATATCTGTCTGGTTTTAACCTTCTCATAAGATCAGCAAAGGTTTAGTTTTAGCTTCTTGACAAGGTTATTCTCTTGATACATGTGACAATGTGGTATAAGGAGAAACTTGGTATAAGATATCTAAAAAGATACATCACTGTGGTAAGCCAGTACTTTCTCTTCAACTATCAAACATGTACCTTGCTGAAGACTTGTTTTATATACTAATAGAGTTCATCAAATGAATGAGCTTAACTCTTCCCTAAACATGTTTTTATATATCTAATACAAATTAACAAATTTGTATTATGTATCTAATATTTTTATTAGATATAAATTAGAAATTTATATTCTAATACAAATTCTAATACAAATTAGAAAATTGTATTATATATCTAATACAAATTAACAAATTGGCATAATATTAACAAATTAATATAATTTGTACTGGTTTTCACCTTTTTTAGAGTATGGTCTAACAGCTCATTCTTCCAAGATTCCTAATTCTGGTTAATATACACCCAAACTATTTAGTACATTAAGATGATTCCTAGAGATTTGTTGCACAGAATAGGAATGGACTTAATACTACTGAATTATCTACTTAAATAAATTTAAGATGGTAAATTTTACGTGATGTGCTTTTTACCACAATTTTTTTTAAAAAAATGATAGCATGTCTTCCGCATTTGATGATTCCAGACATAAGCTAGTTTGCAGAATGCCTCAGCAAATGCTAATCACCAAGAAGTTTGTCCTTTCTGCCTTTTTTCTGAAACACAGAAATGCTATGACAGGAATGATACACAAAGTTGCATATTTGACTTAGTGCCTAAAAGCCACCCTGGGATCCACAACCTTGCTTAAAGATTTAAGAAAGACCTTTAGTCTACTTCTGAGAAGGTCCTTAGCCTCAAAAACTTTATCTCTCAACTTGACTTCATAGCAGCTGTTATATTTTTTTGCTGTCGTTTGTTTGACAGGATCCAGTTATAGGTTCCGATGTCTGTTTAAAGAAACCAGGAGGCTGTTGGCTTTAAAATTCCCTCATTGCTTGTGTGATCAGCATTTTCCCAGGCTTTTCTACATAGTTTGCCAAGCAAAGGGACTGACCTTTTGTAGCAAACACTTTTTCATTTCAAAATGCTCACTTTGATTTTTGTCCCATTTTATACTCATTCCAAACTGTTTACAACCCACTAAAAATGACTGTGAATTATATGTTTGTGTAATGGATTCCTTTTGTGGTCTGAGTGGAATGTTTACTTTGAACAATTAGTTATCTTTGGGTAGATTATAGCAACTTGAAAAAAGAATGGTTAAAACTGCTATTATAACTTA